AATAGACGCCGAGGGTGGACAATTTGCCCCAACATCTGATTCCTTTTCTGGTTTCCATGTCACCTCACAGAATAGGAGGGTATTTAGGCTATGTCTTTGGCAACCAGGAAACAAATACGCATCTCAAGAAGCACCCATCGTTCAATGCTTCTTATTAGAGGAAGGGTATACCAATGCAGGCAAAATAAGTTTGTCAGAACAGTAGAATCCCAATAACTTCCATTATCTGGTCATCCTACCTACCAGGTGACCTCAGGTGAGGCCAGATTCCCTTCAGCTATGACCTTAGTCCTCCAGTTTCCCACAAGCCTCACCAATCTCCAAAGAGTCTTCTAATTTTGGGATGCCATTTCCCCAACATGAAATGTCCACAAACCTCCTAAATCTTCCTCTTCTCTTCTCCTTACAGGCAATTTGGTAGCACCAAGCATTCATAGAATGCTGGACTTGGAGCCACAAGGACAAAGTTCAAACCCTGCCTCAGATACTTCCTAGCTACACAACCCTGGGCAAATCATTTAACCTCTCTTTGCCTCAGTTTCTTCATCTGTAAAATAAGGATCACTCCCAAAGTTATGAGGATCAAATGAGATAGCATATGGAAACTACAGTGTAAGTGCAAGCCATTATTACCATTCTGGTGCTCACTGTTCTTACCATAAGCCCTCCTCCCTAATACAATACCACTTGACCACTTATCACCATGCAGGAGGTGGTTTGGTTCACAAATACTGGAATCAGAGGGCAGCTAGGTGGCACAGTGGAAAGAATACTAGCCCTAGAGTCAGGAACACTCATCTTTCTGTGTTCAAATCCAGCTTCAGACATCTGTGTGAACCTGGGCAAGTCACTTCACCCTATTTGCCTCAGTTTCCTCATCTGTAAAATGAACTGGAGAAGTAAATGGCAAACCATTCCAGTATCTCTGGCAAGAAAACTCCAAATAGGGGGACAGTGAGTCAGACATGACTGAAAAACAACTGAACATCAACTGAAGTGAGAGAACCTGAGATCATCTCACCTCTAGTGCTTACTGGCAATGTGACTTTGGACCAGTCACTTAACTTCCTTGGGCCTCAGTTTCTTCAGCTATAAAATGAAGAGGTTGGACTAGATGAGCTAGAAGATTCCTCCCTGACTCTAAATATATGGTCCTATGACCATATATAATCCTTGAGGTAAGGAGGACGGGGAAGACACATTTTATTTCCTGGAAAAGGAAGGGGTAACATATCCAAGAACCCACTATAGAAGTCCCACAGAATCCTCCTTGCAAGTAATAATAAGTTAGTTTCAAGGGGGTGATGGGGACAGTGGACTAAGTTATTTATAGCATGTTTTTATACCCTAAAACAGAGCTTCTTGATCTTTTTTTGTTTGGAAGTTTGGTGGAGCCCATGGACCCCTTCTCAAAATAATGTTTGCAAATGCATAATATAACCTACATAGGATTACAAAGGAAAGCAATAACATTTGAAATAAATATACAAATTTTCCCTCCAAATTCCCAGACCCCCTGAAATATATCCATAGAACCCTTTGGGGATCCAAAGACCCCAAATAAAGAACCTCTGTCCTAAATGAAACCAAGTACCTAGACTATGAATTATTGATTAAACCACTCCAGGCCTGATTCTTCCTCTGTAAAATGAAGGGTTGGGGGGGGGGAGGCAGCTAGGTGGCGCAGTAGATAGAGCACTGTCCCTGGAGTCAGGAGGACCTGAGTTCAAATTAGGCCTCAGACACATAACACTCACTAGCTGTGTGACTCTGGGCAAGTCACTTAACCCCAATTGCCTCACCAAAAAAAATTAGGGAGTTGGACTCCCTTACCTCCAAGGTCCCTTCCATTCAAGGTCTGTGATGTTATGATCCCATGCTCCCTTCCCAGAGAGGTCTCAGGGAGTTCCCTGCCTAATGCCCATTTAAAGTCCATGGAGAAGTAACAGGATCATGGGATTTAGAACTGGAAAAGGCCTTGGGCATCACTTAGTCCAATGCCTATATCTTAGAGATAAGGAAACAAGTCCAAAAAGTCAACAACTTGCCCAGTCACACAGGTAGGAAGAGGAATTTAGCCTATGTCCTCTGCCTTCTAATCTAATCTACCATCATCATCATCATCATATCTAATAATTCTTTCCACTATTTCCCCGTGGGTCTCCCCCTTTAGCAGACAGAAAGGTTAATTTCCAGGGGAAGAAAACATCCAGGAAAGTGAAGTTGAGAAGTAAGAGAAGTAAGAGAGAAGACACCCACAGTGTCAAGAAAGTGATGGTCAGCTTAGTAATGTTTCCTCCTCCTAGAGAATGGGGGAGGGGGACAAAATCAAGCCATTGGAAAGTTTTGGCTCAGATTCTCTGATCATTTGCTATGGGAAATATTAACCAGTAACTAAACAGTCTTATGGCTGAACCCAACTCCTGATAACCCAAAGTGAAGACAAAGTCCACTTCATTTCTGTTGTTCCGGGGCAGCCCCCCACCTTTAGGATTTTGGAGAAATTGCCCAGAAGACTGGTGTAGAATAAGCACTGGAAAAATCTAGAGGTCATCTTGACTAGGTCCCTCACTTAACAAATGAGGAAACTGAGCCCCAGCTCATCAGGGTTTAGTATACTAACCCTCCTCTCATCTAAGGCCCTTAGCCTCATCAAGCTGACACAGGCATTTGGACCATGAGGAAATTAGACTGGAAATACTCTCCAATAGAAGGCATATGTGGTTTGTTTTATTAATTTCAGTGAAAACTCAAAAAGCAACAAATGTGTTTGTCAGATTATTTTCAGGCTTGGCAACTGCTTCTTGGAGTCACATGTGAACTAATGAAGGGGATTGACCAAGTCTCTAGCCCCTAGGAAAAACACAACCACACTCCCTCTAGGCCACCTGACCTGGACAGTCACCTATCACCCCTTATCCACCCTGTACAGTCTTCAAACAGGTCTTTACTCCCAAATCCCACTTAACCCCAAATCTTTGTGCAATCATCTGGAAAACAGAGCATCTTTGACCCCCAAAGCCTTCCACTCTCTTCTCCTCATCCCAACATTCATCATTAGGCTAGTATAAAAATACTGCAGATCTTCATCACCTTCCAAAGCCTCCACCAGGCTCAGAACAGTCCTCCTTCATGTCCCTACTGAGCTCACTCCCTGAGGTTGTTCCTCCAACCCAAGGCTATGTAATCTAGGGAGGTTGTCCTCAGGTACTCTACCTGCCTCCCAGCGGCTCTTCTGACTCTCAAACAACACCAGGGGCTAAATACCCCGTCCCCTACCTCTGCTGCCTGGATAGCCCTAATTCTCAGCACTTAAAAGGTGAGGCATCCTTCCTTGCCCTCAGAACATCATACCACCACAAAGGAAGAGGCAAAGTTCAGATGGGTCATGAGGCAAGGCAATATGAATGGAAGAAATCATAGAATCAGAACTAGAAAAAACTTCCAGGTCATTGAATTCAACCCTCTCATTTTATAGGTAAGAGAACTGAGTCACAGAGAGGTTAAGTGATTTATCAAGCTCACAATGGTTGAGGCAGAATTCGAACCCAGGGCCTCCAACTCCAAATCCAGGTCTTTTTTCACTGTAACATATTGTGTCCATAAAGGAAGTTTTATGGTTTGAGATGGGGGGGCGGGGAGCGGTGCTGACAGATGACCCGTGGCTGGCCCTCCGGATTTTATAAATGACGGCTCTTAAACGAAAACGCTGTGACCTTGAAGCAGCCTGTCCTCAAGAGAGAGGCTCCCCTCACATACCCGTTGCCCACTCTGCAGCCCCTTCCCAATCAGCACCTGGAGGTGAACCCCCAGCCCTCCCCCTGTACAGATTGTCGGCCTGGAAGCCCCAGCCCAGGAACACCGGGGTGTTGGCCCAGATCCTCGAGGGGAGAAGGCGGTCGGTCCCCATGCATCAACCGAGCCCGTGCCCAGCCCTATATTCCCAGTGCACACTCCACTGCTCTGTCCCTGCCCCAAGCTTAGCCAGACTGTGCAGACACTTGTCTGAGGCTCCAAGCATGGGCTTGGGGCTCCGCTTCTGCCTGGTCGGGGCCATCCTCCCTCCGTAGCTGAGGCGGAGGCGGCCGCACAGGCAGTAAAGGCAAATATTCAGCTGCGGCTCCTTTCCTTGTAAAACAGCGCCCACCTCAGGCCTTGAGCCCACCAGGCTGGCGGCTCGGCTTGGCTCAGCAGCAGCGGAGAGATATAGAGCCAGATAGAGCCCCAGTCTGGGCTGGGGTCCAGGATTTGAGCGGGAGAATCGGCTGCTGGCCGCAGTTCACTGCCAGGGGCACAGGCGGATAGAGGCAAGCACACACACACACACTCTCATAAAGACTCAGTGGTACATGGAGGCATGCTACATACTACAGTCAGATAGGCTATACACACAGAGAAATCAACACCCTACAGGCATGCACACAAATGACACAGAAAGACAGAGGAATGTTATGGTCATATAAGCAGGTGCAGACGCAGACATACACCTACAGACAAGTAACATGGGGCCATGCACTACACTCATAAAGGCATACAATGACATGGAAACACACATAAATTACACATTGAGACACAGAGGCATGTTACAAGGCAGAGAGGAAAAACACTACTCACAATACATAGACATCTGTATGTGCACACTGTATACAGGTGTCTATGTATACCTGTATACACCCATAAACATACACCATTACATACTAACTACACAGAAACAATACCCATACCCTTTGCCAAATGTACAAACACTGACTCCTACTCTCAAGTATTAAACAGGAGACCAAGGGAGAGGGGAGGGAGGGAGGAAAAGTCAGAAAATGAGGAAGAGGGCTCAGAGGGGAGACAGAAGTCACAATGATCAAAGCAATCTAAGCCAGAACAGTCACTGACCAGGCAGTGGGAATGTCACCAACTCCACATCTGTTCATCACTCTGATCAGGAGCCCTCACTTGGCCCACCACTGAACACAGCAGCTCTGGGAACTGCACCTGCCATCACTTACCTTCCTGCACTGCCTGGAAGGGGTTATTGGCTTCTATGAACTTGATGGAATAGGTGATCTTCTCACTCTGCAGAATGTCATCATTGAGGCTGAGGTCTGACACAGCCAGTTGGAAAACCTCATCATCCTTAGCTGCATTCTCCTCAAATATGGCACCTGGAAAGGAATGGGATAAAAAAGGAGGGACAAAGGGTCAGGATGTCTCAGGAGACTAAAAGATCAAAGGCCAGGGAATACACTCTCCTTGTGGAGTGACCCCAGCTCAGTGGCTACCCCAGATCCATTTCCCTCCATACTGTTAGTGTCAGCTAGCTTGGTAAACAGAGAGCAGACCATGAGCGTGGGTTTTACCAGGCATCTTACTATGTTATGGGGGTTGAAATTTTAGCTACATGGTTGTTATTGCTGCCGCTCTAGTAGCTCCCTAGGCCTCAACTCAATTAATTATTTGAGACTTGGATCTGTCCTTCCAGGAAGGCAGGACTTGATGAACAGAGAGAAACAATACATGGGTAACAGAAGAGATACCAAGGATAAAAAAGGAAGCCAGCTACCTAGGGCAAAACAAGGGGGGTGGGAGACACGTCTAACACAAGCAGATGAACACTTTTTGAGTAGCAAAAATTGTAAATTTATAACAGGAAAATATTTATGTTATGATACATCAAGTCCCATGTGTACTAGTGAAATCTCAAAGCTTTGGGGGGGGGGGTATGTAATGTTTAAAGCTTGCCAGGGATGCACACATCTTGCCCAGGCTCTGAGTATCACACACTTGTTACACAGCCACATAACCCAGGCTCATCCCTCCCCTACATTTTACATACGATAGACATGTCTTGCATAGAAGACAGATTACAGTGGGACAGGTGTATGTTACATACACACCAGCTGGACATGGCATGCACTGTGCATGGAGCCAAGTTCCTATTTCTAAGGGTGGACCAAAGGTTCTACAGTTGCAGAAGACTTCTCCCTTTCTGGGACCACTTCTCAGATTCAGAAATGCCCCCAGTTTGCCTCTATGCAATAGAGTAGCCCAGAAAGAAGAGGAAGTAGGGGGTGGGGCAGGACTTAGAGCTAAAATGTTGTTAACCCCTTTCTCCCCCAGCGCAGGGAAACTGGCTTTCCCTGCAGCCATCCTCCCCTGGCGGAGCAGATGAGTCCAGCTAGTTTGGGAAGCTTGTTGATACACTGATAGAGAAAGCATCTGGCACCAGGCTTTACACGATCCCAATCGGTTGTGGAGCCTGTGAATAAGATCCCACTACAAACCCGGGCGGGACAGCTGTGCAGGCAAGCTCAAGATGGCTCTGCCCTCCTCCCACCTCCAGAGCTTCCAACCAGAGAACTGCTTATTCACCCGCAGCCGGGTCGGCTCGGCCTCGGGCCACAAAGATGCCACAAAGGGCTACCCTTTGGCTCTCTAGTGCCCTAGCTCGGCATCTCAGTCTCATCCTATCTACCCAGGAGTGTCTGTCTGGTTTTGTCTCTGCTTCGGTCCCTGTTTCTGGGTGGGTTTCCTGTTTAAGCATAATAGCTCTCAGGTAGAATCCAGTACCACGGACAACTCTTAAGGGAAGGAGAACAGAGAAGTACCCCAACTGAGAAAGACAAGAAGGAAAGCTCACTCCAAGCTCCCAGAGTCCTGGACGCCCTGGCATTGGGCCCCAGGGAAGGCCAGCTTCCTCCGACTCCCTGGGGCTGGGGAAGTCAAACAACGCTTTAGGGCTCCATCTCAAAGCCAATTCAAGGGCCACTGAAACCCCCAAGATGGTTCTAGGGTGAGGACTCCAACCTACTCCCCTACCATCACAGCCTTCTCCCACGCTATAGAGGGCTCTGTGGGAAAGCTGGAGCACACCGGGGTTTCCCTGCTTGCCTTCCTAAGAGCCGCAATGCTGACCAGGCTGGCCGGCTCTCCACTTCTCCCACTAAGAGATTGGGGAGGGGAGAAGACTAAAGTTTCTTCTGTCGCCTCCCTTCTAGGCTTTACAGAGAAGTGAAGTCCTCTCCCCCTCCCCTCCTCCATCTGCCCTGTATTGCAGGATAAGAGTGGGGTGTAAAAAGGGATAGGGGTTGGCCTTTTTCAGGAGGCAATTAAGATGGAGAGACGGAATGGGGGGGTGTGGAGAGAGATCTGCTCTAGCCTGGATTTCTGTTCTGAGATCTCTCCTAGAACCCTCTAGGCCCTGATCTCCCGTATACCAGTTGTGGGGTGGGGGAAGGATCCAGGATGGTTCTTGGATGCTCTGCTGTTTCACACATACCCCCAAAAAAGAGAGGTGTCGAACTGGCTTACGAGGAGCTACGGCTCATCGCCACAGCCACTACCACCCCGTACACACACCCCAACTTCTCAGGCGTATTTTCTCTTCTCTTGGGTCTTTCGCAACTTCCCGGAGGGGACTGCGGAGTACTTCCCGGAGGGGTCCTTGTGTCCCTACCATCACCCCCACCAACATTCCCCATCCTACACCTCCCAGCCCACCCGATTTATCGTTAGGTCGACCTTCTTCGTAGGTTTCATTTCCCCAGTTCCAAACCATTCCCCGCTTTTCACGCCCCCCCCCCATGCTCCCGCCCTTCCCTCTCTCTTGCATCTCTCCAATCTCCCTGTCTCCCTCCTTTTCTCGCTCTCCTCTTTTCCCTCCTTCCTCACTCCCAGGCTCAACCCCCACATACACATACACCTCTCCTACTCTCTCCCCCGCCCCCACTCATCCACCCACGCTCCTTCCCTCCCTTCTCCTCCTCTCCCACCTCCCCGGAAAGCCCACTACTCAGACCCTGGGAAAACTGAGAGCTGTCAATGAGCTCCGGTCGCAGTCGCCACAGCTGCACACACATACACACACACATATACACACACACACACACACACACACACACACACACAAAATCCAGCGACGGGCATACGCTGATACACACTGACAACACCCATTCACACACACACAACACACACACACACACACACACACACACACACACACCCCGACAGACAGACACACGCAGACACAAGCCAGGAGCTCCGGACCCAGCTTCCCCAATCCTTTCCAGACAACTTGGTCACCACCTGTCTCTGCTTCACTCCTACTCTTGAGGAGGGAGGGATTGTAAGGGAATGGGGGCGTCTCCTGTGGTCCCCCTCCCCCAGTCTCTCTAGCATGAGCCCTTGGGAGAGAGATGGGAAAGGAGGGTGCTAGCAAACGAGCATGGCTATACCCCCTAGCCCCGGCCCCCAGGGCCACAGGAGCTGCTGCCCTAGGAGGCGCCTGTGCCTACCCGGGGCGCGGCGCCCTGGAGAGTGCGTTCAAGCGGGCATCTTCGCCCCAGAGCCACTGAACCGGAGGGCGGAAGGAAGACGGAGACCTCCGGTTCCTGGGCATTGCTCTCTGCCAACTTCGCGAGGCTACTCGGCTTCCGAGAGCCCTGGCAGCACGGATCTTTCGGCTCCAGATAGTTGGGCTCCCCCCCCTTCCTCCTCCCCAACCTTTGCCTCTCTTCATCTCCCCCGCCCCCCAACCCTCCCTCACCGCCGTGGGGGAGGGGGGCGGGTTCTACCAGCAGCCGAGCCCCCTCAGGGTGTCCATCTGTCCGTCTCTGCACCCACCCTCTCGGCCGGCTGCCTCCTTGCCTGCCTGCCTTCCTGCCTGGCCGTCTGCCTCTCTGCCTGCCCGCCTTCCTCTCCTCCTCCTCTTCACCGGCGCTCGCTCTCTCTTACCGATGTGGATGATGGAGTCCGCCCGCACCGAAACGCACTGAAATATCCAAGGGAGAAGCCACAGCGTCAACACTTCCATGTCCCCCTTCGCGTGCTGCACATCAGCCCGGGCTCGGGGCGAGACCCAGGGTTGGGGGGAGGGGGCCGATCGGGAAGGAGAGAGCTGGGGAGGGCCGGGAAGGGACTGGGGGAGGAGGCACCCGGAGAACCCCGGGAGCCCGCCCGCTCAGCCCGCTCAGCCCGGCCAGCAACCCCGAGCCAGGGGTCCGAGAGCCCGAGGCAGCGCGGCAGAGCCTAGAGCCCAGGAGCCGGGAAGACGAGCGCCGAAGAGCTGGGCACTGGAGAGAGGCCGGTAGGAGGGGGAATGGGGGGTGGCTCCCGGGGCAGGAGGAGGTGGCGGCGGCGGCAGGCAGAGGAAGGCAGGAGGGCCGGGTAGGCTCCCGGCGGTGGCGGCGGCTGCGGCGGCTCCTCGGCTCTCGGTGTGTGTCTGAGAGCCCCAGCAAACAGCGAACTGCGGAGGACGTCCCCCCCCCTCTTTCCCATCCCCTCTCCTCCCTCCCCGCCCGCCAGCCTCCCCCCACCCCCCGGGCCACGTGATTGCAGAGCCTCGCCACTCAATAGAGGCGGCCCGAGCCTCGCGCTCGCTCTCTCCCCGGGTCGGGGCTGCCGGGCGCCCTGGGGCGCAGAGAGGGAGCCCTGGGGAATCGGGGAACTGTGCAACTCAGGAGAGGGGAGGCGAGCTGAAGGGTTGGCACAAGAAGACACACAACCAAAGACGAAGTTTAGAGACACCCGCCGGAAGGAGGCAGAAAGTAAGTGGAAGGGCAGCAGAAATGAAGCTGAACCCTCGACTCCCCCCCCACCTTGGTCAGGGCGGTGGGAGGGCGTGGAGCAGCCCCCCAGAGCCTCCCCTCCCTCCAGAGAGAAGCGGAGGACGTGTTTCCCCCTCCCCTCCTCCGCCCCAGACTAGTCATTGTCCCGGGTTCAGGGACTGAGTGCAGCTCGAGGCGTAAGCAAGGGACAAGAGAGAAGGGGCTGCAAAGTCGGGAGGTACAGACAGTGGTACCAGAGAAAGACAAGGGCAAAGAATAGAGGAGACATCGAGGCAAGGGCTGGGGCAGCAGCAGAGGAGAGATGGACAGGGAATGGCGAAAGAATAGGCATAGGGATAGAGGTAGAGACTGGGCTGCGGGGACAAGTTTGGTGAGTGGACAGGTAAAGCCTGGGGCAGAACGAGGTTCAGGGCAGGGGATGGACGACAGAATGAGATATGGGGCAAAGGCTGGAGCAGGAAGTGAGCGTGGACCGGCAAGGGAGAGAGAAGGGGCTGTAGTGGTGAGCGCTTAGGAAATGCTTGTAGACAGACTAAGAGATGGGGTGAAGACTAGGACCGGGCAAAGTGTGACCAGACGAGTAAGACAAGTCATCAAGGTGGGCAAGAGTCTGAGGCAGGGGAAGACTCAGGGCAAAGCCAAGGACAACGGCTGGCTAGGAGCACAGGACCGCTCCTGAGGAAGGAAGATAGACCCAGCCCAGCCTCCTCTGGCTTTCTCTACCTACTCAGACGCCTCCCACGCTCAGAAGCGGAGGCAAAGTGGATCCCCAAGCTCTGGGGGCGTCAAAGCTGGGTTGTTGTTTTTTTTTTTTTAAGCTTCCCTCCCTCTCCATCTCCGACATCCCTGCCCCCCACCACCACCACCTTAGCCTTCAATGAAACCTAATTCATAAATCGGGCAGCTCGGGCTCAGAAGCCTAATTCATCCCCTAAAACAAACGCATCACTGATTGCAGGCATCCAGACGTGAGGAGCGTTTAAAGATGCCCGGGAGCTGGAGAAAACACTTTCATTCAAAGAGTCTGAGACGTAATTAAAACCCCTGCTTGCCAGGGAGAGGAGCTGAGAGTGGGACTGTTCCCTCGATTGTGAACCAGCGCTGGGGCCAAAGAATGGACTCATTTAGTGAAATATCCGCCCAGTGATGTGCTGGGTCTGGCTTTGGACTCCAGGAGGGAGCTCCTCAGCCGGCCTCTACGTCCCCCGGCCCGCTTCTGCCGGGGAAGATTTCGAATCCGCTACCCCTCTGTTCATACTTCGTACCCACTTAACCCCTGTTGGAATCTCAATCCCCTTCCTGCCCTCCTCTCTTTCGCTGTCTCCAGACTGAGTAGCTGTTTCTCTCCATTCCCTGGAGAGGAAGGGAAGCTGGCACCACGGCAAGCGGAGGAGCTGGTCCATCCCACAAGCTCTTGACCGTTCCCACCACTGACCCAAACACAAACCAGTCCAGAGCCAGATGTGACCAGAGTCAAGCTGATGGGCCTGGGGTGGGGAGGGGGTGGGAAGTGGGGACATCAGGAAGAGAAAGAAGAGAGAGGGCAGCAGCCAGGTGAGTGGGCAGCCACCCTAGCTCCTAGGAGCCAGGCGAGGGTAAACGCTTGACCCACTGAAAGGGGAAGAAGAGGGGGGAAGGAGGAGGAGCCCTGCCTTCCCGGGACAGGGGCCCTCTCATCCAATAAATTACTGAGCTCCACTATTCTTTGCTCTTCCCGCGTGGACTTTCTGGAAATCGATAGAAGTAATACACTACCTGCAGTATTTCTTGGGCAGAATCAGAACATCTCATCTGCATAATTGGCTTCAGGCAGGAAGATCGATAGAAACGTCCATTATTGGCCTACTTGATCAGGTAAAAATTAATCCTCGTTTATATTCATTCCAAGTCAACCGCCCCCAAGCTCACTTTTGGAAAAGGAAGGTCACTGCAGTGCACTCTTCCACTGAACCCAAAGTTAAATGTTTGGCCCTGGGTCATAGAGGCTGTGACTGGCAGATGCTGCAGGCCTTGATGGGGACAAGAGAACATCAGAGATTTTGATGTCCAGGGCTAGGAAAGAAGGGTTGTGACCAGCAACTAACAGCTTGGAACATCTTAAATGCTCTGTGCTTGGAGGGGCCTAGAAAACCAGGAAGAAATAGCATCAGACTGTTTGGCTAACATGCCCCCTCACCCATTAACTATGCTGCCTTAGGTATGTTAGAGACTGATTCACTGATGGGTAAGGAAGAAGACAAGTACAGAGTGACGTGATCAAGATTGCCTGAGACCCTTGCACTATTCTTTGCCCTGGGTACAATGCTAAGATCATAGATTGAAGGAACCTTAGAGGTCATCTAACCCAAGTCTCTCTTTTTACAGATAAGGAAATTGAGGTTCAGAGAAATGAAATGGCTTGTCCAAAGTCACACAGATAGTAAGAAGGCAGAGTTGAGGCTCAAAACCAGGTCCTCCACCTGCAAACACAGCACTCTGCAATATACCTTAAAGTGAACCTTATCTGCCTGCAGAAGATATTGTAGGAACCCTGGGATCTATTCTTCTTTAACTGTTTGTCTTCTGCCTGAAACACCTTCCCTCTGCTCCTCTTTCTGCTTTGTCCAAACCCTTCCCATCATTTGGGGTCTACTTCCATGAAATCTTTCCTGATTACCCTGAGTCTGACGTGAGCTCTCCTTCCCCTGAGCTCCCACTTGTGACTCTTGATACCTTTTGCATTGTATAGCACTTGTTTCTATACACATTCACTCCTAAGACATTCTAACTTCCTTCAGGTCAAGGGTCAAGTCTTACCCACTTCTCTATCCCCCATGTACTTAACAGAGAAGGCACTTGAAGTTCAGCAGAGGGTCTTGTAGGACTCATTAAACGTGTGGTTGAATGACTAAAATGGCTAGGTTGTGTGTAAATATTCACTTTCCCACTCATCTTAAATAGTTTCCTTTTATAAACCAAACTGGAATCATTGTGGTACCATAGAAAAAGTACAGTGGATTTTATGTTAGATGATCTGGATTCACATCCCAGTTCTACCACTTACTGTGTGACCTCAGAAAGTCACTTTAACTTTTCTGAGCCTCTCTGTAAAATTAGGGGGTTGGACTGCCCTGAATCATAAAGCCTCTTGACTCACTCAACTTTTAGGTTTTAGTGTCCCTCAATTTCTGTTTTCTGTCCGTCTGTTCAGAATATAGTAGCTCAGTATATTTTCACAATCAGTTTATTCAGACTCTTGTTGCTATGATGTAAATGCTTATCGAACAGCATTCCATTGCGAGTCTGAGTACAGCCCACCTGGGATAGGCCTGTGGAGCACATGGCCCTGCTTTGGTGTTAGGGAAACAGAAAGCTATTATACCCAGTGACATCACAGCATCATTTGCCCTGCAGATGGTCCTCTCCTGGCTTCCGTAATGACAAATACTTCATATTTCTAAACTGCTTTCAGGTTTACAAAGTGTTCTCCTTACCACAGTTCTGTGACATGTGTGCAAATGTAGCACCTCCTCTGGGCCACTTTTCCAATTCACAAATGTAATTGTGGGTTGGGTCAATATAAAGCCAGCCTTTTAAAACTGTAGCTCATGAGCCCCCACTAGTATGCTTGCCCTTAACAATCAGCCAATTGACACAATTAGCTGTTAGCAAAGGTAATGCTAGGAAAACCTGAGTTCAGATCCAGCCTCAGATAGTTACTATAAGTGGGCAAGTAGACTCTGGGCAAGTCACTTAAATGCCACCTGCCCCAGTTTCTCAAGAGTAAAATGGTTATAATAGTAGCACCTACCTCACAGGATTGTTGTGAGGGTCAAATGAGATAACATTTGTACAGCACTTAACAGAATGCCTGGCACATAGTAGCTTCCTACTAAATGTATGTTCCTCTCCCCCTTTCTGAAAGGCATTTACTAAGTTGTAGTAGTAGAATGTTCCTCCATAAACCCAGGAGACACTCAGAAATACATAATTTCTTTAAAAAGAGTAAGAACAGAATACAGTGATAGTGAGCCATACGTCTAGGGATCATACATGACCATGGCATTCACAACTTTGCCGCCAGAGGACCCTGATGTCCTTTCTTTCTTAGCAGAGTCTTCACACAACTCCTCCTTGGGTCTCTGCTAGGTGGTTTACTCAGTTGGCTTCCTGGGGTCTGTTCTTCTCCATGGAGTAGTTTTGTTTTGTTTTTGTTTTGTTTTGTTTTTATTGCCAGTTCTAGCCCTTTTGAATCCCCAGTGAGCTCCCTTCTCTGGGCACCATATCTTAAATTCCCTCCTTCCTTCCTGAACTCCACAACTCCCCTGAGCTTTAACTGCCTTTTGTTCTTAAAATTATAGATATCTTGCCTTTTTATTTAGGTCCAAAGGATATTACAGTTTCTCTCAGCCAAGTAAATAACTATATGTTTTCTGTGTGATTTTAATCACTTTTGCCTGATGGTTAAGACCCTATAAAGCCCTCAAGTTGTTAAGGAATTTATTCAGGCCATATTGTGGGGTTAGATGAAAGTTTTTACCCAATTATTATTATCTCATATTACAGATGAGGCAGCTAAGATTAATAAATTTGGCCAAGGTCACGAAGCTAAGAAGTATTGGAGGTGTGGGAACATGGCTTCACATAGCACGTATATTATTCTTTCCACTACATCTCCTAGTGAGGTACACTCTGCTCCACTGATTTCTGAAGGGATAGGC